ACACAAGGAATGCGACAGCAGAAACCCATGTCTTTCATACGTCTGTGTGTGGTGGTTCTTGAAGCACTCACTCCAGCTGCAGTCCACTCTTTGTGAATCTCCCCCACATTTTTGAATGGGTTTTGTTTCACAATCCTCTCCAGGGTGCGGTTATCTCTCTTGCTTGTACACTTTTTTCGACCACATCTTTTCCTTCCCTTCGCCTCTCTATTAATGTGCTTGGACACTGAGCTCTGTGAACAGCCAGCCTCTTTAGCGATGACCTTTTGTGTCTTGCCCTCCTTGTGCAAGGTGTCGATGGTCGTCTTTTGGACAACTGTCAAGTCAGCAGTCTTCCCCATGATTGTGTAGCCTATAGAACTAGACTGAAAGACCATTTAAAGGCTTTTGCAGGTGGTTTGAGTTAATTAGCTGATTAGAGTGTGGCACCAGGGGCCATCAATTTTGAACCTTTTCACAATATTCTAATTTTCTGATATGATGAATTTGAGATTTTCATTTGTTGTCATTTGTAATCATCAAAATTAAACAAAATAAACATCTGAAATATATGAGTTTGTATGTAATGTATGAATATAATATACAAGTTTCACTTTTTAAATGGAATTACTGAAATCAATCTACTTTTTCATGATATTCTAATTTTATGACCAGCACCTGTAATTCTATCAGAAACAGCCTTCGTTCCTCCTTACTTACAATAATGCAAAGTAGTCAGAGTCAAAACAAATTACAGACGCTTTGGTTAAACTGACGTGGGTTCGAATCCAACCTGTAGTCCTTTGCCAAATGTCTCTCCCCCTCTCTCAAACCCCCTGTCCTGTCAGCCTACTGTCCAAAAAGGCCCATTAGTGCATAAAAAACCTTACATCTTATGAATAAACCTTGAGAAAAAATCTGGTTTTGATGGGAAGAAAGTATTTCTTATCTACAAACACCCTCACGCAGGGCAATTGTGTGGCCTTGAAACACGCGAGTGAAAACTTTTATAGCAAGTAAATTGAATAAATATATATATGCAATAAGAGAAACAACATTTTCTGATCATACAGGGTCATCTAAATCTTTCTTTGCAATATTCTAGTTTATTAAGTTACATTAGTGACAGTTACAAAAATTCTTTGATGACTGGTTCACTTTTAAACAGACTAATCCAGTGAATTATAACTACTTTTTCTTTTTTTTTTTTTATTAAACTATCAGTTATAAAAAAAAGGAAAGTTTTTTTATTATATGTGAAAAACAGATGACTTTTGCTTGTTAATGTGTGGAGAGACGCCTTTAATGTTATTGTGTCTAGCTATAAGCCAATAACACCACTTTTGGTTTTATACTGAGCGGCCAGGGAAGCTTCCCTCCCTGTGGGGGTAGAAATGCATCGTTATACATACATATTTTTCACAAGCTTTTTGAAATAAAATCTGCAAATAAACAAGAGCACGTGTAATGTAGGCGCACCGCAGGCCAGAAACAGATCACATAATCAGCAGTGTGTTTTGAACCGAAGGAAACTTTCCTAGGGGGGGTGTGTGTGTCAGTGGTCTAACTTGTGTGTAATTATGATGCCAGCTTCTGGCCACTGGCTGTGTGAAGTCAGATTCATGCTGACTATCAGCCAAATTAATTGTTCCTAGGGGGGCGGTTCTATCCCTATGAGTTTGTGTCTTTAACAATGCAGCTTTTTCCTTCAATAAATCTGGAGCAGGGAAGAAAAATGATGGTCTTCATGGATTATCTTTGTTCCGATGCTTGGCACTGGGTGACATTTGGCTGACTTTGTGGTCTAGAACACTCCTAGCTGTTTCTTATAAAAGTATGCATGTGCATACACTAAACCACTTGTATGGCAAATAATTCATGTCCCAATAGTGCACAGAATAAACTGTAAAATGCAATAAAAGCCTGTTGCAAATAACCATGAGTGTAAAGAAATTAAAGTTGAATTGCTCTTAAATGCCATTTCCTTATCAGGAAATCTTGTCTAATGTTTTTGGAAACGTTTCGAAATGTTTAGGAAAAATTCCTTTTTCAGTATCTGTGTGCACGATAACAATAGAAATGATAGAAAAATTTAAAAACAGACATAGTGGAGGACAGATTAACTATTACAGGCACAGATTAAAATACACCTTCCCAACCATGAGCAGCTAATTGGGCTGAAGTTGGCTTATGTTTGGTCCTTTCCTGTTAGTACTAAACTAAATGTTGTAAGACATAATTTTGGACTTCGTATCATAATCGGTAGTTTAAAATCTACGATACTGACAGGAAGCCTGGAGTTCTTCAATCACTGTGCATTATTTTGCAAGCTTTTTTTTTGTTTACCCTATAAAATGCTAAAGAATTTTATTTAAAACCAAATATATATGTAAAAGTTGAAGAGACCCAGAAGACAATATAAAAGCTTATTTAGGAGAGGTGAAGATTTTTTTTATGGCCTGGGACTTCTTAGGCTAGTATACGTTAACCTTCTTTGTTAGGTTAAAGAAAATATGAATATTCAGAGATGCATTTAGTCCCACAACATTTTATTCACTCGTTAGGTTTCATGTGGCTTCACAGCTGCCTGTAGGACGCCTGAGGCATCATCATGTGTTTATTCTTTTTAGCTGCTTGTGGAATACTTCACCAGGGATAAGTACGATTCACATGTAAACCGATACTGATGCCGAGTACCTTGGAATCAGTGTTGGTGATCATGTAACGTCATCTTAAGCACTAGGCTTATTTACCTGAAGATGATAAGCTCCCACACCCTTGTGTCTGGCTGCTGCTGACAAGTCACTAACAGATGCAGGCGAGCTATAGATGTACATCTGAAGCTGTCCGAAATTTTTAGCCTTAATGCTGCGTTCACACCGGACGCAGCAGGCGCGACAGAAGCAGCGAGTTTACATGCAAAGTCAATGGTTGACGCGCGTCAATGCGCAGCAAAAGGTCCCGCGGCGCGTTTTGAGCAGCAGGCGCAGCGCGTCTGAGCAGCTGAAGCAGCGCGTCGGGCGCGTTTAAGCATCTGACGCGCCGCAAACGCGCTGCTGCTCGAGATGGAAAAATTTAACTTTTGCTGCTCGACGCATCGCGTCAACCAATCAGAGAAGCTGATCTGGGAGCTGGCAGGGAGACAGACACATCGCTGATGACACAGAGCGCTATGATCACTCCTCTGAAACAGTTTATTGACGCATAAAATAACTTAAAATGTAGAAATCTGCCGGCAGAATATGTTCGCTTTTATTATCCTGCTGCCTGCACTTTGGATTATTTAGATGAAAAACACCTACCAGCTGCCGCGGTGAACCGCGAGGAGGCGACCCGGCCAGAGGCTGCTAATGAAGGGATTCCTACTGTCGGCGCACCGCTGGTATGTGGGGGTCTGAGCGTCTCCGACAGAAATAACATTGGGAGGCAGGATTGTAATCTGGATGAACTGACTGCACTGATGAAGTTTTCAGGTGGATTTTCTCACTTAAAAACATATTAAAACTACTTTATTCCCACTGATCACAGCAAATATAGCTGAAAGGCAGAGAAAGGATAGAGTAGCTCCGCCCAACGCGCGTCAGACACACTTTTGCACCGCGCAGCCAGAGCAGCAAAAAGGAAGCAGCAGACGCGATTTTGCTGCTTTTGCTGCGTCCGGTGTGAACGTAGCATAAGAGGAATTTTTTAGGTAAATTGGATGATTATACGTATAACCGTATAACTATATATGCGATCAGAAGTATTCCCCACCACTGGCTGAGTTCTTGTGTTCAAATAAGGGTACGTTCAGACTGCAAGCAGCAGAGGCAGCAGAAGCAGCTAGTTTACATCAAGGCGCAGCAAAAGGTCCTGCGTCTGAGCAGCTGAAACAGCTCCTCACGAACTTCTGAGCATCTGAGGCGCCTTCAGAAGCAGCAGCTGCTGGAGTTGGACGAATTTTATTTTACTGCTCAACAAGCCAATCAGAGAAGCTGATCTGAGAGCTGGCAGGGAGTCAGACAAAGCACTGCTGATGCAGAGCGCTGTGATCACTCCGCTGAAGCAGTTTATTAACGCCTAAATTAACTTAAAATGTAGAAACCTGCCGGCAGAATATGTTTGATTTTATTATCCTGGTGCCTGTAGTTTGGATTACGTGCGTGAAAAACGCTAACATCTACATCCAGCCGCCACAAACGGTAGCGGGAAACCCCAAAGAGGCAACCTGGCCAGAGGCAGCTGTTGAAGGGGATTCCCAGTGACAGCGCACCGCCGGTATGTGGGGGTCTGAGCGGCTCCGCCAGAAACAATATATGAAAGCAGGATGGTAATCTGGATGAACTGACTGCACAGTTTTTAGGTGGACTTTCTCAATTAAAAACATCTTAAAACTACTTTTTACCCGCTGATCACAGCAAATATAGCTGCCATTGTTCCAGGCAAAGAAAGGATAGGGTAGCTCCGCCCAACATGCATCAGAACCACTTTACCACCTTGCAGCTAGAGCAGCAAAGATGCTTCAGCCATGCATCAGAACTGAACTTGTACAAGCATCAAAAATGAAGCGGCATACGTGTTTTTGCTGCTCCTGCTGCGTTCGGTCTGAATGTGGCCATACTCTGAAGTGCCTTCTATTTGCCATGTTTGATTTGTATACTCTTGGCTGCTTCTGACATCATCAAGCTTTTGGGTGTTCTATGCCATATATTTTTTTTACAAACAGAGTTGAAAACTACCCGCTCTTCCACTCCATGTCACAATGATGCGCATAGTTAACGAAACATGGTAGTAGTTAATTTTCCACGAATAGGTACTCAGTTGATGGAATTCTGTCGGTACCTTTAAAAGTACCAAATTATACTTGCTTTATGACAAAATGTCTTGGATTATACCACCTTTGCTGCTTTGTCAGTATATGTGGAAACCAAAGACACAGAAATTGTGAGTTGTTTCAGAAATCACTGACACATTCAGTCAAAATAGGTACAATGCAAGACAAAGGACATATAATTGATGTCTTCTCTGTTCTCTTTACGCAGCCCTTAAGAGGTCCTTTGAGGTGGAGGATGTTGACACTTCCTCCCATTCTTCGCCCGGCTCTCGCCGAGCCACCAACTCCCCTCTCCGGAACGCCATGTCTCCCACCAGTATCTACTACCGTGACCTTGGCAGCACAGCCCCCTCTACCAACAACAACAACCTCAACTATTCCCAACCACGCTCCATCATGGGTGGGGGTGGTTCAAGGACCCCTGAGCCGGTGTCACGTCGTTCTGAACTCTCCATTGACATCTCCTCCTCTAGCAAGCAGGTGGATAACATCACCAGCCCTGCCTCTACGCGATTCGTGAGCAACAGTGTACTGAAACGCCCTGAGGTCTTAGGGCACTCCAGGACCCCTGACATGAGCCACAAGAGGGAGGTCACATTTGCCAAGACCCTCACTGACTCCCCAGGGACCCGCCGCAATGAGGGCAACAATAACAACGGGATCATCCGAGCTCCTGAGCAGAATCACTCTCGCAAGTTCGAATCGGCGAGTCTGTCAGACCCCCGTAAACCCGAAATCAACATCACCAAAGCTCCCCCAGAGAACAACGGGCACCACCCTCACCACCCCAACCCTCATCACAACACTATTGTTACCACCTTTCGCTGCTCCTCCCCCAGCCATGCAGGACGCAAGTCTCCTAATCCTGACAGTAAGTCTTCATATCTCTCTCAGTGCAACACATAATTGCTTTTGTCATCTTTTTCTTACCGTCCGATTCCGACTTTCCAGACACAAATGTAAACATTGATTTAACTAAGGTAGGGGTCTTCAACGTTTTACACGCGAAGGACCCCCAAACTGATGGCGATGGAGCGGGGACCCCCTAATTATATATATTGTATGAAACAGTGTTCTATCAAACTGGTCCTATAATCACTCTATTACAGATGGAGTAATGTAACTAAAGTAATCCCTCTCTGGGATTATTAGAGTATTTCTGATTCCTGGTTGATGGGACAGGTGTTGTGAATGAAACGGTGTCCAGCTTGAAAGAGCTCCTGTGTGTCGCTGAATGTGAGCATTGATGACTAAAAGACATCTTCTGCCTCCATTTATCTGTTTACTACAGTCTGTTGGATTCATGTTAATGTGGATTTAAAGACATTTCAATTAGTGGAAAAACTTGCAGGGGGGAATATTAAAAAAAGTCTAATCAACCAAACCTTTCCTGACCTCCACGCAGTACCTCTGTGGAGCCCCTAGGGGTTGCGGATCCCCTGTTGAAGACCTCCCTACTAAGGGATCACTGTCGTTCCAGTCACTTTGCAAAAGACTATAAAACTGTATAGATTATCAAGATAATTAATTTACTTATCATCTCTGATGACAAACTTTAAACTATTTTGTTGGGGTTTGATTAAATAGACCGACAGTATAACTGATTTACTGAGTGGAATAAAAGGATTAAAGGAAAAGTCCCGTCTTAGGTATAAATAATGATCAATGGATCATTATTTATACCTAAAACTAATACCTTTACGATGATTTAAAAAATTTAGCGTTAATCAGTAAAATGAAAACAATAATTTTCAATGCGATCACCAAGTCCAGGAGCGGCCATTTTTAGTAGCCCCTCCCTCCTGCCATCTTCCAGCAGTGACGTCACGGTGCGGTAAGCCTAGCGCCATTCTCCCCGCTTTCCAAGCTAAATCTATGGGAACTACTAGACACATCTGCAATCAACAACAATTATTGAAGATTTCCAGAGGACTTCACCATTGAAATTCACCAGAGCTATAGTGAAACTGACAATGCCCACGTGCATGGCAGCTGGATGCTGGAATACATCGGGTAAAAGTGAAAAAAAAGAGTTATTCCACCTTTCTGATTCCTGATCCTCCACGGACGGGTTGGTCGTTGGATCGCCAACTTGAAGAGGGAGGATTTGCCATCGAACTTCTGGCCAGAGAAAAAACCCGTAATATGTAGCCAACATTTGGAAGAAGAATGTTTTCAAGATGACTTGGATAATAGCGCGTTGTGACAAACACCAGATACAGCACTGGGACTTGATCAACAGCCGATACCGCACCGTGACAATGTCACTAACCAGTAGGTGGCAGTAGTGTTCTTTGACAAACATGGATGCCTCCAGTATAGCACATTCACATGAAAATTACTCTGAATTAAAAACACTGATCATTTATTGAACAGGATGGAATCATTTCACATTTAAAGGATTTTTAGAAGTTTGAATTCTGAATGTGAGCAGATTTTTCCTTTAACTTGGCTGGGTTTCTTTATCGTTGACTCTTCTCATGTTTGTTGATTGATATGTGCTCTTAGTCTGTTTTGAAGAAAAATGTTGAGAACTTTAAAGGATATTAATTATTTTTGAGGAGCTGTACTTGCAAAACTATCAGGTCATACATTAAAGAATGTTTTGAAACTACTTTGGTTGTGATCTCAAGGTGTCGTCTAGAAGTTGTTTTGACTTTATTTGTTTAATATCTGTTGCACTCTTGCGTTGTTTAGTATAAGAGCGGATCAACACTGGCCTGCCATAGTGGTGCGGCATTTTCTGAGTTGGAAAATCATTTATACTGAGTGAAAGGGACCCACCTCTAATCACATAAACCCAAATAACAGTTTCTTATTTGATGACAGAACAAGCATCTCGCTGGTACCACCAAGTTACTTTTTCCAGAATCGAGTTTCTTCTAACCCTACCATAAACGCCATAACTGTTGGTCCACATCCTTTCACACTATACTATAAAAGACTGAACCAGTATTAGATATCACACCAAGAAACGAGCCAACAACAGGAGCAGCTTGTCTGATTAATCGGATGTCTGCATGTCTGCCAGTAATACAAAAAACTGTGTCCTTGGAGAACCATCTGTCAGCAGACGGAGAAGGCAGACTGACTGTCTGTTTTTGTGGTCGTCCGTTTCTTTTGTTCGTGGCATATTAAAGCTTGGGGTTTTTTTGTGATGTAAGGAAAACCCTGAATGGCAGAGCCAGTTTGGCGTGGCGGCTGAACTTTTAATTAGAGTTATGGTAGAAGTGAAATGATACATATTTGAAATGGAGAAGGAAGACTTTTCCCCCTCTGGATTGGATTAGTTCTGTCTGATTCTGTATGACGACGTGATCCAATTACATGCAGAATACAACAAGATTTCCCTTGAAACTCTTCCTGGTCAAAACCACAGAACTGCATGTATTCGAGTTTAAAATATGTTAAGGTGCAATTAAATGGTTTACAGATATGTGCAACACATTTTAACACATGAGAACATCTGCAGTAAATAAAATTTTTTTAGTTTTTTGAAGCTTATACAACCTTTCAATAGAATGTCGGCAATAAAAGCAAATAACTGTACATTCAGATTTACTGTGCTGAGTGTGGAAGATATATATATTTGGGAGAAATTGTTAAAACCCCAAAAGATTATTTATTTATTTTATCACAGATGCATAATTCCTGTCTGGAATGTTATTTGAAAGTTAAAATCCATGCAAAACCAAGTACTTTAATATATAATAGTTTAGTTCTTCTGGTGCCCCTTGCAATTAGGAAAGCAACTATTCTTCTTATATAACACTTAAAAAAAAAGAAGGATCATTTTGGAAAAGGGATCCCCATCATCTAGAGTCTTGCTAGCCTCGTGAGGTTTCACTCGCTAATCAGTCTGGAGACTCTCCGTTGAAGAAAGTTTGGAGCCGTTCACCAAACGAACGTCCGATCATCGTTGGCTTTGAGGCGGGTTGAGGTGTGACGCAACGAGAAGCGCGACAGTTCAGTCTAAAGAACATGGCGGCTTCAGCCGATGAAGCTAGCGTTAGCGTGGCTATCGAGCAAGTTTTATGGGAATTACAGAGTATTTCTTCACTGAAAGAAGAGCAAAACACTGCTCTGGAGGCTTTTCTCAGAGGAAAAGATGTTTTTGCTCTTCTCCCGACTGGTTTCACCAAGAGTTTGATCTATCAATTGGCTCCTCTTCGTCGTCGCTCTGTTAGTACGTCATATGCTTCGTTGATCTGATTGGTTTATTTGGCCCGTCTATCACCAACATAGGCCAATCAGCTAACCAGTATTTTCGCCCCTTCCCAAAATTACTTCAACGGAAGGTTTCCAGATGGATATGCGGAGCAAATCCATCTGGCGGAGTCAGGTTAGCGTCTTGGGTCCTCTTATGCTTTCTACATACCCTCCCATACATACCCGCAGGTTTCTGTAGGGTTGGGATGGTATGTAGCATTAGACCAAAAAGTTTTTTGGCCTTTTTTTTGAAAACATCATTGCCATGAAAGTTGCAGCTGCATTATTAAACCTTTAAGGAACTGAAAAAGATTTGCTACACAGGCGGAAGTTTAGCTGTAGCCCAGATCAAACCATAAATATGCTCCATTCAAGTCTGAATAAGCTAGAGCTGATTTAATAAAAAAGGGACATAAGGAAAGGTATAGACCAAGATAGGATAAATACAGCTGAATATCATATTTTGAAATCTAAGTAAGTTTATTTTTCTTTAAAAAACAGCATTTCTTTCTTGAATTAAGCAGTTAAGTGATACACTTTGCCAATGGAATAAGGCAATTTACATCTAAAATAAGAAAAAAACAATTTTGTTGTCTTATTCCAAGTAGATATTATCTAATTATCTTATTTTAACAGTAAAAATACTCATTCCATTGGCAAATCTTATTATTTACTTGTTTGAATTATGCTAAATACACTAATTTTAAGACATTTTTACTCGTTTCCCGATCGTTTTTGCAGTGATACTTGTATATATTTTTTTATTTACTTTAAAAACTGAAGTAATAGTATCATGTTTAAAAAAATGCTTTTATTTCAGTCACCTTTGGGACTTGCAGATAGGTAGGCCGCTACTCATTTAGAAGCATATTTAGGCCCCTCGGTGTGAGCCAGAAAGTAGCTTCAACCTGAATAATGTTTCATTGAAGCATTTAAAACTCTCAAGAAATTAATGGCTGCTTGCAAAGGACGGCAAACAGGAAGAACACAATATGACATGCTGCAGGACAGGCGAACTGGGAAAGGCCCAAACAGCGCGGCATTGTTCTCAGTCTGAATCCAAAACATCTGTCAAAGGAGAAAATGCGTTGTAAATATTCCAGTCTGACCCAGCTGGGAGAGCAAACACATTACATGGCCTGAAACCAACGAAAGATTAAAGCTAATCAAAGTATAAGTACACAGATACTAGAGAAATGCGGTGGATAGGAATGTACCGGTACCTAAAATACTTTGTTTTCCTCTACAGCAGCAATTCATTTTACATGTTACTGTTGGCCGTTATTATAATGATCACACAAGGCTGGAATGGGCTGTGAAAATCTTCTGTATTCTCTAGTGGCAAAGATAAAAACTATTAGCCTGTTTAATAATAAATAGCCACTGCCCTGAAGCCGTCCGAAGCTAACGTCTGCTTTCCAAGACCTCACTGGAAACATTTAAAGGAAAAGTCCGCTCATATTCAGAATACAAACTTCTGAAAGTGCTTTATGTGTTTAAGTGTTTTTAATCCAGAGTAATTTCCATGTGAATGTGCTTTACTGGAGGCATCCATGTTTGTCAAAGAAAACTACTGCCACCTACTGGTTAGTGACGCCACGGTGCGGTATCGGCTGTTGATCAAGTCCCAGTGCTGTATCTGGTGTTTGTCACAACGCGCTA